TATATATATATATATAAAATTCTTCTTCATTGTTGCTTAAACAACCAATATTGCAATACTCTCATTGTATGAAATAGCAAAGATACTTACCCATCTTTATTACTATTGTTGTTAATATTGTAGCGTGCAAGTGCACCGGGTAGATAATATTTCCTGGGGAACAGCAAAGCAACACAGTTACATGATAGAAATACAAAAAAACATTTAATCTAAGTTGTCATGGACTGTTTCTCACTATTTTAATCATGGGCTAGGTTATCCAAGGAAATTGAAAGAGCACAGATTTTAATCTCCTAAATATTTACATTAATAAATATATCACAATCTTTAAAACTTTACTTATTAATAGAGGGTGAAGAAAATTAGATGACGGCAAATCTGTGTTTAGTTAATCCTATACAATTTATAACAGAAAAAAACTAAACAGACTAAATAGTCTCTTTAGTACAAGTGTACAAACCAGTAAATTTGACATACCTGTTTTCCCCTTTGTCCATTGGTCCAGGGTCCTCACTGGTGTCTTGCACTACCACGCTGGGAACAATTGTATGGGAGTGATGGGTCTCAATCACTCCTACCTTCATGGTGAAGTTTGTCTCTACCTTGGGTAATTGAGGAAGACTGATTAAAAAAGAATCAAGTCATTTCACAACTAGCAGAAGTAAAAAGCAATTTTTTTTTTTCTAAAGATGAATCCTTTATATCCTTGCTTCCCCCAAAACCATCAACAGTATTTTCCCTCTCTCACATGACATTCCCACCAGACAAGAAGGGGCACTGTGGGTGCTTCAGTGTGCTGAATAACCAGGCAACTGCTGCTGAAGAGAATGTTCAACACATCTTTGTCTTAGAATAACCATTAATTTAGGTCTTTCTCCTCAGCCTAATCACATCCTTTGAAAATATTTAGACAATTGTGTTTGAAACATCTAACACTGTTGCATTTGGTTTTGCACCAAAGGCTCAAAACTTACTGTATCAAGATGGATAAACAGATTCATGAACAGGTGGCATCCTGAAAACCAGACTAGGAAGCATCCACTGGTCATATGTCCAAAGAAATCTCAGTATGTCTGTATACCTCAGTATGTCTGATACCCTTGCTCTGTTGAGAGTAAAGTGTATGTTCTTTAACTAGGAAGACTGATGTAGTAGAATCTTATTACTCATATAGCATGTAGTATATAAACATCTAAATAGAAATGTTAGTGGCTGTTCATGTTCGTTTTGTTCATCTCAATATTATAAAATGGAAAATATTGTAGAGTACATAACTAATGTAGCATATTCTAGCAAAGTCTTTCCATCACTGGAGTAATTAACTTCTGCTCTCCCTTTTAACTACTATTATTACAAATTTGTCAGTTATATCTTGGCATCAGTGAGACTGCCAACACTTTGGGCATGAACTGTGTCTACATATGTGATCTGCCATTGACAGGGCCACTTAGATAGGATTATAAAACAGATGCAATCCTCTGCAGTAACAATATCCCTGCACATGTGAAATCAGAGTATAGAGATGTCTGTAAGTCACAAACTGACAAATGAGTGGCTGTACCACTGACAAGTGAAGCCAAATGCCATAGAATGTATTAGTTTTAAAGAAAGCACTTCCATGCTGTACTTAAGCACACCGCAGGATGATACAGCTGCCACATTACTGCAAGACTTACCCGAGTCTCCTTATTAGTCAATGAAACTAAAAATATTCCTATAGAGGAAAGAGGAGAGGAAACCCGTGTTTCCAGCAGTCATCAGACATGAATGACACATGGTGCAAAAAATAATACAGCAATATGCAACATTCTACAAAACAGAAAGATAAAGATTGAAGATTAAGATATGTTCTTTCACAAATAGTCCTAAATGTAGTCCAACATTGCTGGTCAGTCTTTAAATGATTAAGAGCAAGGTCTAAGATACTGCATAAAAAGATTCTAAATTTCTAAGAAATAGTAAACATTAGGTTAGATTCACCAGGAGCCTAAAAGCTGTAATAGGGTTTCCACTGACTTACTCCAAGGATAAATTGTGTTTGAAAGTGTGGAGATTGAAAGTATGCCAGGTTGAATTAAGCAGCTTTATGTCTGCTTACAGGTGCCCTGAAAGCTCTGGTAATGCTGACACACAAAATTCCATCCTGATTTAATCTATATCCTCCACAGAGCCACACCGGAGTCCACAGAGCTCACAAATAATGGTGCAAAATAAAGCTGTGTCCAACCATTTCTAAACACTCAGCACCAGACAAACACAAATGCATTCATCTCAAGGGAAATCGTTCCTCCAACAGAGTGGGTTCCAAACCAGTCAGTTCACACTAGGACTCCCAGTACCAGCATTTCTACATACGGACTTATTTTTCATGTTCATCTTTACCCTACAAGTCTTCTTTATTGTCAATAGGAAAAGAAAAAATCTTTGACTTCATTGTATCCAGACATACTGCTTTGCAAATGTCTAGAGGTTCAAGATAATGAGAAGTGTGGCAAAACAGGACATGTCCAAAAATCCACACCCATCCAAAGTATGTAGCTTGGAGGTTAGGGAAAAATCTATATCCTCTACATTCCCCTGTTGTTCAGGTAAAGAGGATTTTCTGTGTATTTTTACAAATCAGCAGATTCCTCTGGCTGTTAGTGTCTATTGTAAGTGGAAGCCCTGAGGGGTGCTTTGTGTTCTGCTGAAGGAGCCATGGCAGCCATGCGTAGGACTTGCTGGGAAGGAGGAGCAGCCATTTGGGGCAGGACTGGAGATTTCATCTTACAGAGGCACTGGAAGCACTAACTGGCATACAAATAGTCTGAAAATACTAAATCTGAATGCCAGGCTCAGGTGACTGCTGCACCACGTTGTTTCCCTTGTCAGTGGATCAGGATATGTAGCACAAGAATATCTTCAAATTCCATTAGTGTCAAAGCAAATTGTGAGGAGTTCTGAAATTCTTGAATCTAAGACACAGAAATGCTAATGCAGCATGTGCCCAGTGCAAGTTGAACACACAGTAATTGCTCCTGGTTAGGGGACTGTGGTTACCTTGTTACAGCATTTGTGTGACAAAACCCCAACACTGGGAACAGTAGAAAATGTCCTGTTAAACTCAGTGGATCCAGAACTCATCTTAATGTATTTTTTAATTGTATTATAGAGGTTTTTAAAACAATGTTTCAAATGTTTTTTACTTAATTGTACCACTATCATGTTTCCTATTCTGTAGTCATACATAAACTAATACATTGTCACAAATTGTTACACTGCTTTTATTTTAATAGTCCAATGCTCATTTTCACATTACCATATTCAGGTAGTAAGATTGAAAGGTAATACAGATAAATGCTTGCTTTAGCTATATTTTAGATTTTTACCATATTGTTTTTACTGTATAATCACAAATAGTTTGCTCTTACTATCCTGGATTTTTAAATGTGACTACTACTATAAACAACTGAGTTTTCAAATATTATGACCTAAAAACTTACTATATTAATTGCTATATATCAAAATCTTTAGGACTGCAAGAAAATGAAGGCAGTATTATCCTTTTACAGGATTGTATGAATGGAACATCAGCTTCCATCTCTTCTGATCTTTTATTTTACCTATTTCTCACTTTCTTACCAGCCCACCATATTCACTTCTTTAGTTATTCTTTTCAGAGAGGAAATGCTTCAAGTAAGTAAAGATCGATTTTTTTTCTTTACAAAAAGCATCCAAAAATCTTAAATAACATTAAAATCTGCAGTGTTTTACAGCAAAATCTCTTATCTTTAAGATGCAAACAATCCTTAGCAGTTCTGCAATAAGCAGTTTCATCAGTGTGCATGCTTACCTTGAGAATGTAATCTGCTGCTTCTAATAGTGATTTCAGTCGTTTACATCAGCGACGTTTCCTTACTACATAAGCGGATCCACCATGAAAAGCTAAATATAATCAACATTTCATACATAAATCCCTTATTGATCAATTTCTCAACCAGCCAGTCCCATGTGCAGTTCTGTGAATTATTCCCAGGGAAGGACATAGATATTAGAGGAGGATTTCCTTGACCTAGTGATGGATTTTGAGATTTAGAGAGAGAGGAAAGTGACAGTGGCAGTCACTATTATCCCTCACCTGAGCAGAAGCTTACTAGCCCTATGAACACGCACAAGAAGAGACAAATGCTGGAGCATACTCTATCCTGAAACTAAAAAAAAAAAACAAACCCCAAACTGTAAATTACTATATATTCAGCGTTGTGTGCTTGCCCATTTTCTTAATAATTACTGTAGTAACAGGCCTTTACTAGCATAGATAAAACACAATAAATGGATATTTCCTTTTTATTTTAATGTTTATCATATTGCAGAATAATAGGAAATGCCATTTTAAACTACTGAAAGTTCTTAGCTAATCTAGCATTCATATTTTGATGCTCAAAAAAGCCCATGAGTTGTGAATATATATTTAATGGAAAATGCTATGATAATGAAGTTCTAAAACACTGAACTGATCTTCAAGTTTGGTATGAATTCTGACTTTGCAAAACGGTTTGTAAAGTAGCTGCAGTCCTCCTTCATTAGAAAGGTGCACGGGTTCATCTGTAGTGGACACACAATCAAGCAAGCCCCAAGAGCATCATAGTGTACTTTGAAAGAGAAGATGTTGAAGTATTTGCAAACTCAGCTTTCTCATTTCACTGTGGGGTTCCATGAAAATAAGGCAAATTAAATTCTCAGGAGCTTGAGTGACTGATGTTTTACATGGCCCATTTTAGGGGAAAAAAAATAAATTTAAAAAAAAGGCATTACTGAGCATGAAATCCAGTGCAGAAAATCTTTTAAGCAGCAAAACCAATGAATGTTCAAATTTGAAATTGTATCTTTGTCACAACTGATCCATAGTTAAAATTACTGCATTACTTTTTAACTTTGCTTTACAACAAGCAGAATCCTGGAAAGCAGTCCAGCCCCTGGGACCCCAGGATTAAGACACATTTCTTTCCTTAACCAAGAGCAGGAGGAAGCAATGCCACTGGTATTCATATGAACCAACTTAAATCTTGCAGCCCAGCCCAGGTGACTGAGTGGACATTTGTAAGTGGATTGACACATTTTAGATTTAACCAGAAACTCAAAATGATGCTCAGTATTACAGGTCACCCTCCTGACCAGAGAAACAAATTAGAAACATCTGCTGCTATGACTTTCCAACCCTGAAGACAGACAGTCCATTTTCTAGGAAAGAGAATACACATTTGAAATTTAAAGAATAAAAAATATTTTAAGCAAACCAGTAATGGGCAACAAGGAAATGCATAATATTATGCCCAGTGAAAGTCAGATATACAAATCTATAGTAAGGTATCCAACATAACAAATGGATGAAGAAGTGAATAATCTTCTAAGTTTTGGTATACATTTCACTGTTGTTTTCAAAGGGCTGAAATAAAAAGAGATATGAAAAGAATCAGAAGGTCACTGCAATCAGGATCAGTTTTACCTCTGTTGTTCTCATGGGTTTTTTGCCTGGTTTGCAGTCCAAAAGATTTCAGTGTTCAATGCTGAGCAGTGATTTTGTGCATATGTGATGGCACAGAGTGTTTGGGACATATGCCTTGTTGCGTGTCACATCAAACTAATTGTGTACTCTTGCATTTGGTGCATACCTTTGTCCAAAAGTTTTAGATGACCAGCCAAACCAGGCAATTCTATGTTGTGTCTCTCAAGCCACTATGAACTACAAAGAAGATACACCATTTTACTCTGGTGGAAAACAGTCAGTTTGCTTTTAAAATAAGCAGTCCTGTAAAGCAACTTATATTTTCTTATCTGTTTTACAATGGAGCTTTTCAAAGAAGCTCTCAAACAAAGGAAAATGAGTGCTACTGGGCCAGACCAGTTCCTTGTGTGACAGTGGCCAGGACCTCACTTACGTGCAAAAAAGCTTGCAGGACAAGTTCTGGGTGAGCTCGACACAGTGGTCTCAATTTTGCCCTCCTTTAAAAGACAATTACTTCACTGGCAATTACATTAGATTAGCATCAATATTTTTTCACAGATGTTTTTCCTGTTATTCTGTATTCCAGTGAAGTAACCTTGACTGATGGGAGAATGACCGCACTAACGGATTATTGTTTTAGTAGGCCAACTTTAATCTATTTTTGTATCTTACTTTGTCATCATCTGTAATTCTTCTCAATCCTATTAAAGCTACCTCTAGTTTCAGACACCCAAACCAAAACACTAGATAAATTATACATATGTATTTATTCATAAATAAGCAGGTTTTAATGGCACAACTTTGCCTTTCAGCTTACTGTGTTGTAGCTGTCTACCCAGATGGGTGTTTTAGATTGGGACCACAATTTTGGCAGACTTATTTTCTGCAAGTACTGTTCTGTCTTTTTTAGCACTGATGCAATTTCAGCAGCGAATGTCATGTTGGAAGTGTTGTAGCTGAAAGGCTCCAGTGCTTCTGGTTTATTGAATACTCTTTTATGTAGACTGCTGTTACAGGGAATTCAGTGTCATGAAGCACAATCAGGCCCGACGAGGTCTGGTGACTGGAAAACCATCAGCGCAGTGTCTCCACCAGTAGGTGGTACTGTATTTATACTTTAGCGTTAAATGGGTGCTTGATGGAGAGGGAAGCAATAGAAGCAATTTAAGATCCGTGTTGGTGTGTTAGATTCCCATATGCAGATGAGGCTGGAATCGGAAGGTACTGGACAGACTGCAAGCCTTCTGTGGACATGAGCACTCTCAGACACACAGTACAGCACCACACAGTGTGCTGAAAGACCATGTCAGAACCTTTTACCAGCATCTTCCAGGTCCAGACCCTAGTTTTTGCATGACTGCTCTGAGCAGGGATTAGCACTTCTGAAATGTCTGTGAGCACAGCAAGCACAGTGTCTGGCCGTGCCCAGCAATTATTTGTGTGCCCTGAGCTGAACCTGCAATGAGGCTGTCCTTGTGCCACTCAGGTTGAGGCGGCTTGAGAGATCTCTTCTCCTCCCAGCCTGGAACCTGCAAGGAATAGAGAGACTGGCCCACAAAAAAAACTCTCTGGAAAAAACTAGAACTTCATTCAGTAATATCAATGGGATAAAGAATGAGTGTGGTCACCCTGCAGGAGTGCCAGTAGCTCTGAACAGTCAGTCACGATTTCTGTTTAGCACAATTTTATTTCAAGCTAAAATAACATAGGAAACCTGGGTTGGTTGCACAAAATAATGATGCTAAAATCTTTACCCATACAAAGGTGATTCAATGGAGATTAATTCTACTTAAAAGGAAATCATCAATATATGATGTTGCCACTGATAAGAGTGGTAGAAAATGCACTGCAGTTAAAGTAGGTTTGATAGATCTAGCCTTGTCTTTCATTCATTGTAGTAAAGTAGGAATTAAGGTGGCACTATCTGGGCATTTTTAAGACAACATGAATAGGATTAATCCCTTCACAGCAAGTACAGCAATCTAATCATGTTGAACTGCAATCTAGAGGCACCATTTTTTTGTCTCACTTGAAGTTAATTCCTTTACATCTTGCTCCTTCGGGTCTACACTAAATCACCAGCATTTGGGGCAGGTGAAGTTCCCATGGTCAGAGATCCACTCTCAAATCTAGCTCAGTAATTTTTGTGTGACTGCATGCCAGGACAGGAAATAAACCTGTTTGTAACTGCCGTATTGAACAGAGATCATTTGGACTCTGTCAGATAGCCATGACTGCAGGCAGAGAAGAGTAGTGCAGAACAGGGAGGCTGAGCAACAATGACAGGACTTCAAAATGCCAGAGGCAGATTTCTTAAATTAAAAAAAAAAAAAAGAACTTGCTTCATGTCTGCACCTGGTCTAGCTGCACAGTGAACCGTTTTTCTCAGTGTAGTGAAACCTCTTGTCTTCATCTTCAGTATTTACAATAGTATAATTAAATATTGCATAATAACACTTATAAGGAACTCAATGTATACGTGTATGAGAAAAAAATCCTCAACTTCTCAATAATCCTCAACAATCCTCAATAATCCTCAATTAAAGAATTTATGACAAAGCCAAGAAGTCACACAAATTTTGTTTAATTAAGTCATTCATGACTAACACAGAGGCAAGATGGGTTTTATTAAGGCACAAAAATGAAGTTTCCAATGTAAAAATATAAGTTGGCTACATATTCAATGCTTTGATTTTTATTGAAAACCAATAATTAAAGTCAGTGCTTGCCTAACAGTCAGTTTCAGTGAATCTTTCACTCGTTGCATAAATAACAGAATTTTAACACAACTTCTTTCTTGCATTTTCCATACATTTAATGGAAAAAAATGAGTGCAATAACCCAGAAAGGTATAACAGGGTTTCATAACATCCTTATTTCTCTTTTGGAGAAATGGGAACTGTCACAAAATTCCTCTGAGTGTTGGTACATGCATATTATTACTTCATACACAAAAAGGCTGATCTGTGCTTTGCCTAGCTGGCATAGATCCACTGAAATAGAGGAGCTGTGCTGATTTGCATTAGTTGATGATCCAGGCATTGCTCTTAATCAGTCATAGGTGCTGTTTTGAATGGTGAACTAGCATCTTCTTCCTCTTTATGTCAGACAATAAGATTGTATATAAAGACTTTATTTTCTTTCTCATTTGACACTAACATCTAAAATAAAGACCACTATATCAATATTGATAAATTACCTTTATGCAGTTTCTTCTTCCTGGGACTGTCTCAAAGTTCTTTGAAACAAGTTGAGTATGCAAGGAACTGTAAATCATTCGTGAAGTATACACACGTGAAGTATACTCACTCTCTAATTATATTATAGATTACACATTCTTTAATCTGTCTACTGACTTGGATTGTTAGCTACAAGGTTTTTTGTGACTTATTTTTTCTCCTCCCCCACAAAAAAAGATAGTTTCATGGTGTTTTTGCAGTTTAGTGCAGATTGAAAAACATGAAACATGACTTATATAAAGATTTTCAACCAAGAAACAAGTGTATAGAATCATTTTGGTTGGAAAAGCCACTTAAGATTTTAGAGTCCGGCTGTAAACCTAGCACTGCCAAGTCCCATG